GCTTTCTCTGTGATGTCTTCCAATGGGAGATGGTCATTTGCCATACCAAGTTCCAACAAACGCTGAATCCTTTTTGGAGATCTGTAGTCATTTTCGGATCCATCAAGCAAGCGTCCCTCTTTTGGTTCAAAAAGACAGGCCACTTTCCCTGTAGGATTCACAAGTTTCCTGACATGTTGGAGCTGTCCACCCTTTGTGGGTATGCATGGATAGCAGAGCAGCAGATTGTCAATTTCTTTGATATGAAGGTCAATAGCATGCAGCACAAGGGTATCTCTACTCTTCGAGTCCATTGTAGTTAGGTTACTGAACACTGCTTCTCTGTAGAACTTCTCCCAGTTCCAGGTCCTGTTTTGTAAAACCTTTTCTAGGCCAGCCTGTTTGAAGCTATTTCTCAGCCAAAGTGGAAGAGGAACAACATGATTGGGCCCTTTTGCATATTTCTGACAAACTTGCACTGCAAGGTCACCAATCTTTTCATCATTTTCAATGCTCTCATGAAGAAATATGGCATTGTTCATTGAGAACCATTGTTCTCCATCACTAAAGAGCTCTGGACCAACAGAGTCGTCAACAATGGTTGAGTAAAGTGCGTCCACTAAAGGCTTGAAAGTTTCAGTCACTTTCTCTCTATCAGGCCAAAAGGTGTGATAACAGTAACTCACCAGCTGCTTATTTTCTGACATTTTCTTTAGTGCCTTGAGTACAGTAACATATGCTGTCACTACTGGATCCTGAAGGAGAGCTTTGTTCCAGTCATTTTTCACTCCAGTTTCCCACAGACCTTTTCGGTTGCTTGTCACAGCAAATGTGCCATTTACATTGACAGGAAGACCCGTGTGAATGGGAAGAGGAAGGAAGCAAAAGGCCTGTCCAACAAGATCTGTTTGTAATGTGGTGAATTTTCCAGTTTCTGGATCATTTTGCAAGGGCACAGCAATCCCTCCAATGGGCAAAGAGAAACTGGCCTGCTTGTTTTTGTGAATGGCCATTTTAAAGGACTCATCTGTCCCAAAGCAGTTGTACAGGAGCCAGAGCTGAACTTCATTTTCATTAGACTGCTGACTGGATATTTTCACAATGCTGATTTTGCAGCAATTGATTAACTCTTTGCATTTACCATCAACTTTCATCAGTGATTTCTCAGCATGACGTTGCTTGGACACACTGTTGTCATCAGGAATCTCCATTGCACTCACAGTGGTTTTGGACACAGAGAAGATGGTCTCTATTTCGTTTTCTGTTGGTGGAGTTGATCCATTGTGTGGGATATTTTGGAGGGATAATGTAATGATGTTCTTTAAAAAAAGCAGATGGGTTTGTGAGTTTTTAGAAAAGAGATGTTGAAAATCAAGGATATTGGGTTTTTTATACACTTTTGGGTTTATTTCTGATTTGGCAGCCTCTTCTTCACTTCGGAAAGGTAGTTTGATCAGAGTGCCTGGATAGGGTTCAGGAGGACTTTTTCGGGTGAAATTACAGTCAAAAATGTTTTCATATGATCCAAACTGACCAGGAAAACAATGAAAGAGTCGCTGTTGAGAGAGATCCAGCTTGAGTCCAGGATTTGTTTTATGTTTGATATGCTTTGTGAGATGAGTAACATTTGGATCAAGTATGAGGAGAGTGTTGCCACTAAGGATGGAGGGGACATCTGTCACATGATACACAGTATTGAATCCAAGTCCAAACTTTCCAATTTTTTCTGCTTTGTTTTCCTTTGAGGCTGAGCCAACTCTGACAATATTTTTCCAATCCTCGGCTGTGAACTGCTCATTATTGAAAGCCCAAAGACAAGGTCCCTGACAAAGAGCCATGTCAGGGTCAATCAGGCTTTCGGGGGCATCTCTGTGTACTCTGAAATCCACCAAGAACTTGCAAACATCTGCCCCAGCATCCTCTGCATTCTGGATGAGCTCTTTGAAGATGTCACTGTCTTCATCGTACTCTTTAAGAATGTTTTTATTCTCATTGTTATTGGTTCAGATTGTCCACACTGCTCTATTCCTATCTCCTCTGGATCAAGGATGTGGGTACTGAGAAAACGAATTTCCAGCCATTCAGCCGCTGCTTTTGGGATTTCCTCATGTATGACATAAATTTCCTCTTCTCTGCAGTTTAGTTCTTTCAGTCCATTTTTGCTTACATCACAGAAAAGAGCTGTTGATCGTGGTTTAAGGGTAAATTTTCCTCCCTCAGCAATGACTGGCACTGGGATGTCATCCTGAACTGTTTTCTTCTCTTTCCAGAGCCAGTTGAGAATTTCTATTGACACTTTGACCTCTGAAGAACTTGCAATCGGCTGTTGTCTTGCTTCAATTGTTTGCTGGATGGAGTACAGAATGCCCAAAATGTCTTCATTGGAAAGTACTTTTCTCAGGCCAAACCTCTGGAACAATGTTCTGTATGGCAAAAATTCACTTGGCACCTTCCCAATGTAAGAACTCAGATCTAGATTATTTGGGTATTCAAGAACCAGATCCTGGGGTGCAACAAACCCGTTCTGGGCCCATAGCCAGCATGTCTCATTGCCCATCATTGTAACAAATACAAAGAGGTTGTCTTGCATGTGTTTGTAAATGATGTGCAGCTGTCTTTTGAAGTCTACATCTGTGTCAGGATTAACCATTTCCAGTGCTTTTGATTTCAAGACTGAAAGATTTTCAATCACTTTTTCAGGTGGTGGTAGGTCTTTGAGACCAAGTCTGTTGCTAACTCTGTCACTGAGCTTCCCTGTTAGTGGCATTACATGTCCAACAATGTCCTTATAAACAGAATGTCTTATTTCATTTGGGCAAAACAAACAATACTTCTGAGATTTATCACTGAATTGTTTCTCACTTCCAGGTTGTTCACATGGGATCCATTTTAGCATTTTGAGGCAATGAAGTTGTCTGTGAGAAAACTTTGTCAGTAAATCATTACTTTCCACCATTTCCAGGAGAACCTGAGCTCTTCTCAGAGCCTCAGTTTGTGAGTTCACACACAGTTTGTCAGTCAGCGTGGCAGCATGTAGCAAATGTTCAGGTGAGACATCTATCTCTTTATTCAGTAATCCGATTTCTGTTAAGCTTTCCAGCATCTGCAGTGAATGAGTGTATGAAGGCGGTGGAAAGAAGTCTGACTCAAAGATGACTTTAAAAGTCTGAATTCTTGGATCAAAAAAGTCAGAGGCTTTTTTCAGCTGTCCATTCACCTCAATGAAGCTCAAGTCCTTACAGCTACATTTCAGGGATTCGTTTTGTGAGAAAAGCACCTTACCATGCTGTAAAACCCAAGTCATTGTTTTGTTAGTGTTGTCACTGCTGCAAGCGCCTTTCCTTATGCTGTCAACAAGAACATTGGCTGCTTCGGCGGTGTCCAAGAGATGAACTTTGAGCAGCTGTAACAGTCTGCGGTCAGTCTCAGTAGAACACTGGATTATGGAATCAGGCATAGGGAGCTCTGTTGGTACTGTTAGGCCTGAGATCAGAAGCACAGCTTGTTTCGATTGAGCTGCAACACTGAATCCTTTCATGGTTTGAAACAAAGGCAACTTCAAGAGAAAATCTTTCTCTGTTTTTGAGAGAGAATCCAGATAAGAAAGATAATCTATTAGTTCATTGTGTGCTGTGTGAGAGGCAGATGTGAGTTCTGTGACAAGATGCTGGAAATCTAAATTCATCAGGACCTTCAAAACACTCCTTGGAGATGGGCACAGCACATATGAGTCAAGGTCTACATGCTTGAGCCACTCATTTCCTCTCACCACTGTGCCACCAACTTTGTTCAGCAGCTGAGTTATTTGGTCTGGCAAATTCAGCTGTTTACTTTTCTGAAAGATCAGAGTTGTGTTCTGCTGTAGTTTTGCTACTGATACAGTCTGACTGCCAGACAGAGGACTAACTGGTATTAGAGGTATGTCAGTGAAAGGACTTAACTCATTAAAATGACTGTTGAGAAACCTCCAGAATTCTTGGAACCAGTCTGAAGGTGGATGTTGACTGTTGCCGTTTTCCCATGTAACAACGTTCTTCCCTGTCTGCTTACAGTCTGGTGGCAAATACCTTCTTGTATATTCAGCCAAATGGGATGCATCAATGTTGGTGATCTTGAAGAAATCTGAAGAGCAGATCAAAAAGATTTGTTTTTTAAAGATAAGAATAAATGTGTGTGCTAAAATGTGTAGCTGTGTACAAATGACTCTGTATTGTTTAAAATTACTTTCACTTACTTCTTCTGGCCAGTTTTTTCAGATGGGCACTGCAGGCTGGAGTCAGATCATTTGGGATGAAGAAGGGTTTACAGAATGGCAGCAAGACTCTATAAAAAAGTGCAATGGATTCTGTCAAACTGTTAGGAGTTCATTCAGTATAGAAATATTCCTGAACCTTCCAAATATTCAGTTACAATCAATATGTGAATAACACATAAAAATGGCAACTTTAGTCATGATAAATATAACATTATTTTAAATATTGATAGATGTATGGAAACCCTACCTTGGACATTCATGGCTGTCAATCAAAGCAGTGTCTTCCTCTTCGTATGTGAAATATCTGAAAGAGCCATCACTGAGTGGAAGGAGCTGAAGACCCTCAAGTTCTTTATATTGTTCATCCCCTAAAATGTACTCCAAAAGACTGAGTTTGTCATCTTTAGTGATGTTATCCACACCGGTCCTGTGGAGAATGGCCCTGAGGAATGCTGGAGTCACATGTTTTAGGGTAGTAGGGTTTGGGTAGGCCTCATTTATAGCCCTTGCAACACTAGCTGGTAAAGTGACAAGATTTTCTCCACATGACACTAAAGCCCTTTTAATGGCAGACAATATGTTGGTGCTTGTTGGGCCATTGCAGGGGAAAACAGCTTCTGATGGAGAGATAAACTGTCTTTCATCTTTAGCAAGAGAGAGGATGGCCACGTTCTGTCTGAATAAGTGATGAAAAACATCCAGAGTGAGAGCATGCCATTTTTCTTTGTGTTGTATCTGAGTGAGATCTGGCCACAGATTGTACACAGAGGAACAGGAGGATAGATTTTTGGGCAAGTTTAATGGCATCTTGAATGATCTTGATGTATGCTTGTGGAAACACCTTCTTCATCAGCATTTCATTCCACAAAGCATGTTCATCATGTCTCTGGTCTTCCTCTTGCCATTTGATGTGTCTTCTATTGTCTGTGAGGCCAAAGCATGCATTGACATAAACTGGGAGTCCTGTCTTATTGGATTCATTGTTTGGAAGGGGGAGAAAGCAGCTCAGTCTGCTCTGGCTACAGTCTCTCTTCTCACCACAGGGGAATGCCAGGTCAACTTGAGGTAAAAAGCTCAACTTCTTTGTAAGCAAATCAAGATCTTCTGCAACGCCCTCTTTCATGGTACATGTTGTCAGAAGCCACTTTGTCTCTTTTTGGTCTTTTGAACTCACAGTTATAACTTTGAACCTTGTTAGACCCTCAGTGATTGACTCCTCTTCTGGCTCCAAAACATCATCTGTGGGGACTGAAGATTTCACTTCAAGTCTGGTGTTAACAGCTCCATCTTCACTAATATGTAACAAGGACACAGAGGTGACATTTTTCAAGAAGAGGAGGCTCAAATCTGCATCTGCAATGAAGCTATCAAAAAGCTCAACCACTTTATCTGAGTCATACAGATTATCAGAAATCTCTGATGCTTCATTACGTAAAGGAAATCTAAAAATTGTCCCATTGAAGTGCTGATCCTCCATGACAACTTTTGACCATCCATGGTCACACACATGTGAGACTATATCTCTAAATGGTTGAAACTGATCACGCATATTCAGCAGAACTTCTTGGTCTTCAGCATCATCCAAAGACCACCAAAACCCTCCATTTCTCTCTCCAAATACTTTTTCTTGGGGATCCATCATGCCAAGATGCTCTGAACTGAATATACTTGGAACATCTGTGGACAAAGTAAAGATATGCTACTGTCAATTGTTTATTTAAAAAAACATTACTCTTATCAAGTGTGATAACTATACATAGTTTCACCTGTTGTGTGATAAACGGAGTTGAAGCCAATTCCAAACCTCCCGACTTTGTTCGGGTCATCACGCTTGACACTCCTTCCAGCCATCTGAATTCCTTCCCAGTCTTCCTCAGTGAATGTGGCATTGTTGTAGGCATAGAGAGCAGGACCTTCGTAAAAATAAAACATTCTCATGGATTGGTGATAATACATAAAAAAAGAAAAAGAAAGACTGAAAAAAAGAGTTATCCCCCCCCCCCCAACAATCTATTTTCCTTATTGTCTATTTTTGTTCTTTTTAACATTTTTTCATGTAAAAGTAAAAGAAACGTTAGAAACATATGTTTTATAGAAAAGGTTTTTTATTTATTGTTAATCAATCAATACCTTGAAATTTTCCCAGTTCTTCAGTCCAAAGGCTTTCAGTCCCATAGCTTCGCTCATCATGGATGAAAACCACTTTTGTGGCTTGAGCATCATCTGCATTTTGAATCAGTTCCTGATTGACCAACAAAACCAACTATTAACATTAGACAGCCAATGGAAGCTAGTAGGGCTGCAAAAATTCATCAAGTAATTTAATTCTAAAAAACATTCGACACAAATTCTTCTATGCTGTGTTTAACGCAAGGCTCTGTAGCGCGCTCATTTTCCAAAACAACGTAAATGCTAGCTTTTCAAAAACACTGATAACACAATAGCAGCAGTGATGTTGATGTTGGCACAGTTTAATGTGGAGCCAGAGTCTGTTTACACAGAGCAAAGAGTCAGAGCCATTACCAAGAACGGTGAGGTCAGGATGAGCGTCCAAAACAGCAGGGCTGTTCATGTAATTACCATTAAAACCTTTACTGGAAAAAAGCTCCTGGGAGTTTAGTCTGACACCAGACTGGTAAAATCATGATTTAATTTCATAAAAGCGATACCTTCAGCAAACAGGGGTGAGGCTAAAGGGGGAGATGGGGTGTACCTGACCTGAGGGTTTTTAAACTTACCCTTTAATAATGTCAGAAAATCTTCCAACAAGACAGAGAAAAGGTACATTTTTATTCCTTAGTTTACTTTGTGATTGAGATTTGAGATTTTTATATATCTTTTGCATTTAAGAAACTGTTTTCTTTAAAAGCTAAAATTTCAATATAGATTTTATTTTATTTATTTATTTTTTACAGATCTTGTATGCAGTTAAACTTTAAAACATTGCAGTATGTAAAATTGAAACCAATGCACTGCTGGTTCTTTCTCTTTTGATTATTTATTATTGCTCATTAATAAGACAAAAGTATTTCTTATCAATTACTCGAATAATCAATTGAATAATCGATAGATTACTTGATCCCTAAAATAATTGATAGCCGCACCCCTACAAGCAATTTTTCCTTACTTTAGCAGGAGAGGTGATGTGAACAATGGTTTTGTTCCAAGAAGTGTCCCATCTCTCCAGTGAATCAGCATACCAAACCCTGAGAGTGACTCATCTAAATGGGATCTAGCCCTGCTTTAATTAGCCATTTAGGTTTCCTACTGTAACATCATATATTTTGAATTATTTAAAAAACAAGAATTGGATGCACAAGGTTGAATTTATTTTAGATTTTCTCTAATCCACAGAAGGCCAAAATATAACATATAATATATATATTATATACATACAGTAACTTAAATCTTTTAAGTGCTACTGAAGGTTCTACAGTGTCTTTTACAATGCCAAGGCCTATTAAATTCTTATCATCATTATTAAATCATGACTGGCTATAACTGAAAGTTTACAGGATTTACATTTATTTCTTACAGACCTTGGTCTGTGAGAAGACCCAAAGACCCATTTCTGCCTCGCCCTGGACTTAGACGGTGCTAACAAAGAAAAAAAGCACCTGCTCCAAAATTGGCACCTTCTGCTCAACTAAAATTTGCAGCTTCCCACAAGGACAAGCCAAATACATTCAGGAGAAAAGTTTTATAGTCAGACGAAAACAAAGATTCTGGTATTTGGCCACAATGAAAAGCAGTGAAGCTGAGTCTTTCAAACCTAAGAACAGTGTGCCAGTTTGTCAAGCATGATGTCAATAGCTTCATGCTTTGGGGCTGTTTTGCTATGGTACTGGTACATTACACGAAGGGGATGGAATATTGAAAATTGACTTCTTCAACTTTACATCCAATCAACAGTCAGACAGTTAAAATTTAAACACCATTGAGTGTTCTAACATGACAATGATCCTAAACGCACATCAAAACCGGTTTTGAGATGGATAAAGAAGGCTAACTTAATATATATCTTTGACCCTTGGTGGATTAGGGGAAATCCAAAATAAATCCAAACTTGGGCATACAATTCTTAGTTTTCAAAGAAAAATTTATCCTGACATTCATGCCCCTGTGTATGTAAACTTCTGAACACAACTGTATACTATTAGTGTTGAATTGTACTGTATTATATTTTCACATTTTCTTCCAACATTAAAGCACACAAAAAAGGCAACTGAGTATGTAGAAGAACCCTAATGCACATGGTGCTTATGTGGTGCAAGTGGTGCAAAACCTCAGAAAAAACAGAATTATAGTAATGCTTGCAGTCAGTTTGCAGTTTACATCCATGTTTCCAATAATCCACTAATTTGATCCCTATCCAAGTCAAGCATCTAGGATAGAGAATGTTGTTTGCGGTACAGATCTTGAAGCTCAAAAAACATGTTACATGTGCTCACGTTTGACCTGTAAAGCTGATTCCACACACAAGTTTATAGCTATGATAGCCAAAAGAGTTTTAAATATATTTGTTACTAAAAAGAAACTGTATCCAAGCAGCAAAAAGGTTCAAATAGTCGGACAATACTCACAAGGTACACATCCAGGATTAGTGTTGCAGTATTGAACAATAGCCAGAAAAGTGTTTTTTTTTTTAATATTATGTTACTGTAAACCAGAAATTTGACCCTTTGGATATAAAATATCATCATTTCCTAAAACGTATCCATTTGTGTGAAATTTGGTCAAAATTAGTTTATGAGTTCTTCACACTATGAAAGTTGGACAGAACCACAGTGACATTAGTCATTGACGTCTGTTATGAGGCCACAATCTTAGTGTTTTTTTGCTGTCATTATCTTGTTATTTTTTGGAAACCGGGTGCACAATGGTGTATCTTACTGTGAAAATAGTGTTTTTTAATAACAAGGAGTTAGCCCGTTAGCACAGACTAGATAACCCTCCTTTGTGACAGTTTAAATGATCACATAATGATTTATTTAAAAGTTATTTACAAAATGGACTTCATGTTTTTTTATCAGCAAGGTACAAAATGTCAAAATGAGTAACTGAGACAATTCAATCATTAGGAAAGCATTTACTGATCAGAGCCAAGGGACAGTTTTGAAACCGGATTTCTAAAGGACTGAAAATCCTTTTGCAACCCTATGAAGTACTTTAAGAAGTAACTGATGAAATGGACTTTTGGCAAAACATTACACCAACCTTCAAAATCTGTCCACCATCTGGATATCGACGTAGAATATCTTTCAGGTAGTCAATGAAGGGTGGTGCTGTGGCCCCAAAAGAAGTCCTATAAAAAAGCAACAGTATCAGCAGAGAAATTAAAAAGCACCGAGTTTGAATTTAATTTAAAACAAAGTGAGTCCTCCTGATACACTGATTATAGGAAAGAGCTAATATTAAACAAGCTTGTGTATTTTACTTGTATTCTTAGCCATAAAGTTCTCAACTTTAAATCAGATAACAGCTTGTGATGAAATCAGAAGATACTTTATGGGACAATAAATTGAAAAGGGGCAGGTACTTGATGTAATTTGGATGATAAAACGTTGAATACGAACTTTGCATTTAGTATGTAATTGTAGGGAACTGGTTACAAATGGAGATGAATGAAGATGTGCACTCAAAGATTATTAAAAACATTTCATATAGTGATTCAAATAATTACACACTGAGCAGTAATTCAATTCAATAAATAATTTGACCTACAAGTAAAATGAGAAAATAACATTGGCGCCAAAAATCATATTAATATGTATCAGCACTTCCTACAGTACTATAGAGCCACACATTTTTTGCGTACAGTACTTCCTACAGAAATACTGTTCTGTAGGAAGTGCATAACAGTATTTCCTATTGTTTTATATACAGTAGGAAGAACTGTATACATAACATTAAAGTAAAATCAAAGTAACTCACCGAGCTTTCTTTTTTGCTTTCAGACTCATTGTTCCAGGGTTGGTTCCTGTAAGAAATTCAGGGTATTGTGAGCAGAACAAAGTCATATAACATATCCTCTTGAGAACCAGCCTATTCGTTTATGTCCTCTGTAATAGACATTTGTTTTTTGGTCTATATCTTTTGACTTATTTGAGATATCCCACTAAGTCCTGATGTACTAAATAGAGGACATTCTGGGCTTTTTATTGATATCTCATGTGTTTGGGTGGCCTCTAAGAGGAAGGAAATATACACGATCGCTGAATAGCAGCCAACTTCCTGTTAATCAGCTGGAATTTAAAAAATCAAATATCAGCTACCTACACGCTGCACTGTTTTTAGATACAATGCAATACTATGCAAACTAAACTATGAATACTCTAAGTTGTTTTATTATGTATGTTGCATTCTTGTACAGCACTTTGGTCAACGCTTCTGTTGTAATTAAATGTGCTATATAAATAATTAAACTATTAAACTATTAAAGAGCCACACTTTGTACATATCTGTACATCCTTTAAGGAGTACATTATACTAAGTAGGTAACTGCAATACCAATGATATTAAAAGATTAAAATCATAGTACCTCGCTTATGAAAGTGAGTGGTCCCATCTGGTCCAGTTAAAGTAATGATCCTACATCAGTCTGATTTATATAAAGGCTGCTGATGGCCAATCACAGCGTGGCACGTGGACTTCTGCTCAGGTTTTGTCTCATTTTCGCCCTTATTCTGTTAGAAACGAAACCGAAATAAACAAAAACAGCCACATTCTTCAAATGTTCTGAGTGAAACGAAACTTTCAGAGCTTCCCAGTGAGGACAGTTGTCCCGCCGCTCGCTAGATGATGCTGCAGCCCGTTTTTATCAGAAAACGGGCTGCAGCATCATCTCAAAGGAAAACGATAAAATGTAGACGACAGTGTTCCGCCGTTATTTAACTCTGGTTAATATGGTGTTTTTACCGCGTTCGCACGAAAAGTACTTACATTCAAGCACATTGCTTAGGAAGGATGAGAACGGTATGTGAAATTGTTGTTTGTGTGCTGCTTGCGTCCTCAAATATCTTCCGCATTGTTTAAAACCAACCACGGCCTACAATAGTTGGTAGGCTGCTAAGTAAGCTAGTGCACATACTTGTTATATTCGCACAGGTCTTGTTGTCGCCTATTTGGCCGACAAGGAGCGCTAATGCGATCATAACCTATACAACATGCCCAAAAACCGATGAAGGATATCCGGCTTATATTTCACCTGAAACAGCGATAAAACTGTTTGGTCAGTAAGCAGGGGGGGCATCGATTAAACAGTGCGTTTCCCCCACAAAAAATAACAATAATTATGTCATGTTTGTCTCTCAGATGCTCCCATCATCTGTAGGACCGTGAAAACCCCTCCCCTGCTGCTGTGGGCGTAGATGGCACCATGCTGGATAACACCGGTGATCAAGTGGAGCAGCAGTCTGGGCGCTGCTCAGACTGTGGGTGCAGTTTTAATCTTTCACATCCTGACTCTGAGCCTGATTCCGATGACACTCCAGCCGATCCTAAACAGCAGAATAAAACAGACAGTTCTTCCAAATGCCCATCCTGCCAGGCAGGCAGCAGCCCCCAGAATGGACGCCGGCCACACCGGCGCATCCGCCTGGACCCTCACAGCTGCAGCCTGTGCTCCAAAACCTTCATCTCTTCCGCTCACCTGACCCTTCACCTTGCTTCTCACAATAAGGAAAGGAAGTTCAAATGTAACACCTGTGGCAAGTTCTTCCATCAGTCCTCCCACCTAATGGCACACAAGATAATCCACAGCGGAGACAGGCCGTTTAAATGCCCAGATTGTGGTAAGACCTTTGGGCGCGCTTCACACCTGAAGACCCACCGTCGACTCCACACAGGCGAAAAACCTTTTAAATGCACTTACTGTGACAAGTCCTTCACCCAGAAGGCTGGGCTACTGGCACACGTTCGTCTGCACACCGGGGAGAGACCATACAAGTGCGAGCAGTGTGGCGAGGGCTTTCGCTCTTTGTCACTGCTGCTCTCTCACAAGGCTCAAGAGGCTTCCGGACAGGCCAAGTCACTGTCGCCACCACCGCTCAGCCAGCCTCAGAAAACACAAACCAACGGCGAAGATCTGAAATGCGGTGTCTGCTGTCGCACTTTTGTCAGGTCATCTTATATCCGGCTGCACATTCGCCTCAACAAAGGACAGAGACCATATCACTGCAAAGTGTGCAACAAGACTTTTGTCAAACTGGAAACATTTGTGAACCACTGTGACAAACACCTGAGACAGAAAAAGGATAAAAATAAGGGGGTGGAAGACAAAGTCGTCAAACCTCCCCTGTTTGTTCCGCTCTCCAGGCCTTCTTCTCCTGAGTCCTTACCTGCTCAGCAGCTATCCCAGGAGGTCAACACACGCTCCAGAGCAAAAGCAAAGATTAAAACAGAGCCATAGCCAGAAGGAGAGCGTCAGCTGAGACAGAGATGGTGGCAGTAGTATAATGTTGGTGTTTTAAAAGGTTAAATGTTTACAGATGATGGTAAGAAAGGGACAAACACCAGATTGGTAGTTGAAACAGTTCCAATTTTTATTTAATTTATATCAATGTGAGTTCACTAATTGTTATTTTAAGATGGTGATTTCCATTGTGAGCAGTTATCTTTAAGCACTATAATATTTTTATTGAGGTATCTTTTAGGCTAATGTTTGTAACATTTCAGAGGCGTACATTGTTCTGATCTTACAATGTTAAAATGAAAAAAAAAGGTCATATCTTAAACCATTGTAATTTATGGTTTTCATTAATCTGTTCTTCTAAATGCATAAAAGCCTAGTGGCATGTATGTACAAACAATAAAAAATGTAAGTTAAATGCTTATTGTAAAACAATATGCCATTTGATGAAAAGTAACCTAGTGTGACTCAACTTTGTCTTTTTTTTGCACCTCAGTAAACAAAAAAAACAACAACTGATGTTCCAGCTGTGCGACACAGTGCTGCTTTATGTAAAGTACTTTTGCCCTTCAATAAAAATGAGCAGTAAACGTGCTCTTAGGGTGGTGTGATTGCAGCAATCGGGCTCATCACTATGATAGCAGGAATTCCTCTGGCACATTCATTGCAACATGTGAGCAACACACCAGTCCGCTTCAGCAGCAGTCTCACAGCCGAACAGTTTAATTTTATTAGACTGTTTTTCTATTTTAGATCTTCACCGGTGATGAGCGAATATGTGTCACCTCCACATGGGGAAACTCTTTGTTCCAGCCTAAGGACAGAGGGGAGGGGGAAACAGCAAGTGAACAACTTTATGGGCAGGGTTAAGTTAGGAGGTTGTGCAACAACAATGCAAAAGACAAACAAAAGACCCTTCCAAAGAACACTCATATAAAAAGTAATAAAGAAACCTTCCAATTCCTTATAATCAATACATATCTCAGATAAAGTGCATATAGTAAATGAAGATGTTTGCCTGGGAGTTGTCTGGATTGTCTGTGCTCCCTTTAATGGTCCAGTGCAGGGTAACGGTCATGTGGCGCCTCCAGACAGGATTTCTCTGGAGGACAATGGTTCCACTGATCGAGTCTCCTGCGCATACACTTACTGGCCTGTCTAGCATGAACAATGTCTGCTTCCAGTGTGTTGGCCTGTAGGGAAAAGGGACTAGTTAGTATAAAATCATATTTAACTAATTATGCATCAGATTGTTTTTGTGCTTTTCATGTTTTCACCCAGAGTTGGGGCCGGTGTTTAGCTCCACAGTTGCGCCTCCTGCCTCCAGGCTCTCGAAGCAAACAGTGAACCAGGCGGTGAATCCATGGAAAGCTCCAGACTTCTCCACACAAAAATGAAACTGACCCTTCATTTCCTGAGAAACGAAACAGTCAAGCATTAGTAATAAAATCCAAGTTGGCTCATTTATAACTTTCCCATAAAAAATAAATAAAAAATGACCTCGAGATCTCCCACTTGTAAAGTGTACATGTCGAGGGAGATGACATCACAAGGAGCAGCGAGGCAGTCACATGGTTCAATGATGTGGCTGAACTTGGGCTTGGTGAAGAACTCCTGCTGTGCCAAAGGCCTCCAGAAACAAAAGTATTTAGCACAAGGGTAAAATGAATTATCAGTGTACTCGTAAATTATTCTAACCTTATATATTTCTAGCCAATATGTGATGAACTCTGATATATAAAAATGTTAAATGCAGGAGCATCTTAACCTCCAAGTGCATTGTATTTAGTCAGCTAAACAAAATATTATTGTAAATACTGATGAACAAAAAACAAGTCCCCAGATGAAAAAGTTTCACGTTAGATTTCAATTGCAACATTAAAGATAAGTCAGTTATCCCTATTTCTGTATTGTAAAGCGCTATATAAGTAAACCTTATTTACTTGTTACAGAAATTTGTGGTAAAAAACCTGGCTATGTTACATTGTAATTGTAATTTACATACATAAAACTGATGATGCCAAATTTTGTGTTATTATTTCAAAATTACAACTTACAAGATAATAACCTGAAAATCTGACATATCACTTTTCAGTAATGGACACAAGCTTTCATAGTTTGGTCCTAATACTGCCAGGTTTTTTTATTTTACACTAGTGGAAATGTAGTAATGGGAACACACATTAAAAGAGTGATCACTTACATTTTGGGGCTATTTATCACCAACCTATCAATATTCAATCAATAAAAGTAATTTCACTTTGTACTGGTGACAAACTACAGCAATTCCTACGTTTAATTGATCGGGCAGTGGGACAGAACAAGAGCTGAAACTGACTCTTCATTTCCTGAGAAGTTTAAAGTTCTAGAGCTCTAACGTGCTGCTGACATGGTAGAAACAGCAACACAGACAGCTCACTGAGCAGTAATACAGAAATATATTTATTGTACTGCTCTGTGTGCTTGTGATGATCAAATCACCAGAGTAGAGTTTTTGAAGAAATAATCTCATTATTTGCAGCTCCAGTGCTGCATTTTGCTCTCATCGTTTTATAATCTTTACATATTGAGGTTAGATGCTCTTATATTGTTGATATTGTCCCTGATTGCACCATGCTGTCCACAGCTGATTTTGTGTGGAAAAAGAATGATGTGTAAAAGACTTTTTGTGTGAACGTGCACAGAGCCTGAAGCAGAAAGACTGGCTGTTGATAGCACAGCATCATGAAGCCTCTTATCTCAGACTGGGGTTTTAGTTTCTATCAAGCCAGCTAAATCAAGAAAGCCTGGATGTGTTGAACTTGCTTTGCAATATAAGTGTTTAAGGCAACGCATGAACTGGCACAAGGCTGTCTCTCAGATATGAATCAGAGAGGATGATTCATTCAAAGCTGGCCATCTAGTGGTAAAACAGATTTTAACACAAGCACATAAAGTAAGAAATCAGCCATTACTGGACTTAATCAATCAATCAATCAATCAATCAATCAATCAATCAATCAATCAAACAAACAAACAAACAGACAGACAGACAGACAGACAGACAGACAGACAGACACACGCATATCTGTAAGTGACAGGACATTCCTCACTGTCAACTGTGAACTAATGGCTCTTACTGAAGAGGAGTGAAGTCGAGGCCATATGGCCGCTCCCAGAAGGCCATTTTCTCGGCATAATAGCTGTCGGCCTGACATGGCACAAAGGTGAGGGCCGCAGAGGAGGGCCATATCGTGCCACCATCTCTAAGCCAGCGGTCCCTGGCCAGCAGAACTGACTCCACCATGAACTCAAACTAGAGCATGGGGAAAAGGCAAAACAAACAACAATGAAAGAGGCAATGTGGTATAGTAAAACCTGAACATGGGTAAGAGCAGAAAAGGATGTCCCACAACAATGTATTTTTTTTAAAGTAGCAGGACAGGAAGTGTTATAATTACCAGAAGGCAGTTACCCATCCACTCAGAAACCAGGACGTCCACCTGTTCAGGCAGCTCGATCTCTTCAGCCCGCCCCTGAAGCACCGTGACCACCTCATCATAGCCGTTCTGCTTCACCAGCTGCCTGGTATACTCTGCCATTGAACTCGCCTCCACAGCATACACCTACAACACCACAGATAATCTCCTTCCGTGCACTCTATACATCATGCTGTTTCCTCAATGCAGCAACACTCTTTGTCCAGCAGATGGAAGTAGAAGTACACCAATGTTCAATACCTAACTGGTGATTTTGCTCCTCTAAGTAACCACATTTATGTGAAAGATTTTACTTTTGGACCCTTAGATTCTAATTCGTTTTTGTTATTTGGCAGGAAACCTAAACTTAACTCACAATATATGCAGATTTTTCCTCATTATTTAAAAATGAATGCAATCTCATTTCATTTCAATCTGATTTCATTTCTCCTTATAACACAAAATCCAAGATTCAACATTACCATTGAGGGGCGTGCCAACTGAGCGCAGAACAGACTGATGATGCCAGTCCCACAGCCGAGGTCCATTACCCTCTTGCTGCTGAGAGAAGCACTGTTGCTGAGAATAACCTGCCGGTATGCCTCAGTGCGGCTCTTGTCTGACAGCATCTCCAGGTGAAGCCTCTGTGTCGTGAAACATGACTAAATGAAACACAGTGCCTAAAAAAATGTATGTACAGCAAACTGACAGGTAGCCACTGGCAGTTTATTTAATGCTCAAAAGTTAGACATTTTTTTTAACTATAATAAAATACTGATCAAAGCAGTGATCAGTCACATAACTGTGCCCCTGTTAAACCTAACTCTTTATAATGAAAAGTGGCTTCATAAAATAAAACGTTAATTTCTAAATGGCAATATGAAATAAAATCAGACATATAAAATTTGCTTGAATTAAACAAGAGTTTTTGATAATTAATCGACTGATAAATAAACGACTCCAAATGGGATCCAAATAAATTCCCAAAACACAGCAGGGTCTAGTTACATGCTTTCCCCCCCTTGTTTATCAGGGGTAATGCATTCAAGAAAAGGCTTACATGTGTATATTTGGAAATCAGGGTCTAAAAGCAATCTTTTATCTATTCTGAGCATGGTTTCCCAGCATCTCAGGAGTAAATATATCACTGGAAACTCTGAATCATGCACCACTGAGGACCATCATCTTAAACCAGCACAGCTACATTGCAGGGTAGTGTCGACAAAAGACGATGCTTAGACGCATGGCTGCTTAACGCGCTGGGAAACAGTTTATACTCGCATATTATGATCAAATCATCATTATCTTCAAGTTCATGATAATAATCTGGACATATGCAAAGCAATACACTTCTTTAAAATGTCCAACCAGCGTTCCATAATTGCCAAAGTATTCTTCATCTTGCCACGGGTCTTCTATTGAGGGGTCCTCCTCCTCCTCCCCTGCAGCATCCTGGCTCATGTAGCTGGCAGGGACATAACCTATGACCCCCTGCAGCTCTGCCCACCACCACTCTGAGGAGGGCTTCGCGTGCACGAGCAATCTGTCCCCTCTGCTGAAACTAAGCTGTGAGACCAAAAAAAAGTCACACGGTTATTGCTGATACCCCCACCTCCCATTTTAAGGCTAGGATCTCGGAGGTCTGCGGGTCTCTCTGACCTGATCGGTGCTACTTCCAGTGAAATCTGACCGGGCAACGTACTCCTCACAGGACGCCTCATCCTCATCCTCCGTCTGCATATTTGCTTTTGACACTTTCGCTGGTTGTTTTTCTCTAACAAACAAGCCAAACCATTTCACGTGCAGAGCAACTAAAAAAAACTACAAAAAAACCCCACTGTGTGTTTAGAGTGAATCGAGCGGCGAAACTCCTACTTTCAGCTACAGCGCGCACTGCAAACACTTCCTGTTTCGACGTAAGGTTGCGTTATCAAGCCTTCACGTGCTGTCGGAAGTTTCGAAACTGTAAGTTCATCTCAAACGAAATAACACGACATTTAACCCTGCATTTACTGCATTGTGCACCAAATATTATTAAGCTTCATTATGAGATACGTTGGTCTTCATATTCGGTTTGTTTCACAGTTGCATTTTCGTCCTTCTTCTGGTGTCATATTCACTTCTATTTCCAAATGGCCTCTATGTTAATATCACGTTAAGTAACTGGCCGACTTGAAGCTTGTGTAAAGCGACCCTTCACTGAAAGTTTCCTGAAAGACCAAAGAACAGAATTTCACAATTTCCTGGACAAAATGTTTGACTTAAAAGAAAATGACTTGAGGGTATGAAAAATTTATTTTTGATCTGCACGCTTTTCCCGTTGCCTCAAATTTAAACATTAGGTTCTTGATTAAAAATAACCCTGGACCATTCATGCAAATACATTAAAAAAAATTTTTCCAAGAAGATAAAACAGATTTAATATACTGCTGGACATCTCAAAGAATTTTAGATATCCTTCCATCCACTTTCTCAAAAACTTAGATCATAAAAGCTATAAAAAGGAAAGCATCCCGGACAAGTCGCCAGTTTATCCATACCTCTATATCAGACTTTAAATTTTTTTTGCCTTATTTTTCCTTTTTTGAATGAGTTTTTTTTAAAGCACTAGTTTTTTTCTAGTGCACTTTCTGCAGAGATTCAAGCAAAATCATTGTTGTCTTGTGTGTCTGCAATGAAATATTAAGATATATTATACAGTTAAAAATAAAATAATGTAAAAACCAAAATATAACAAAAATATTTATTAACAAATTATACAAATTAATAACACACGCACACACACAGAAAAAAAAATACATAAGTTTGAAGCTCAAACAGTTCACAACTTAAATTCCTAAAACACATCCACTGATTCCAGCGAGGAAGAAGGTACATTTTAAACATGGGCCACTTCAAACTAACCAGTTCATGTCAAGAATCCACAAAAGAAAAGCCATGGCATGAAGTTTGAGGTCTAGTTGAGTTTGTATGGGATAAACATGTTTCTCCCTTAACTCTGTAAATCGATAGACTTTGTAGTATTCAGTCCTCCTGAGTGTTTTAGTTTGATGTTCAACATGATGATCAAACATGTAGAACTGTTTTCAGAAGCATATCACATTCTTGGTAAAAAAAAAACAAAAGTCTCAGCTGTCTTTTGTCTTTGCCTTGAGAAAGGGCTTATGGAGGACGTCAAAGAGTCGTCTTGCCTGTAAACACAAAATGTCAACATGTTAAGTCATCAAACACTTCATCTACGCCGTGTATATTTATACTCAGCACATGTGTTTTCCTCACTTTTTGTGGTCCAAGTCCTGGGCAGACAACCAAATCTTCCTTAGAGGCACTGACGATTCCTTCTACAGACTGAAGAATACAACATGTCTGTTTATTGATTGGATCATATCCACTGACAACATGACTGAACTACAATTACACACTCGCAGTTGTTCATGAACCAATCAAGTTGCACATCTCCCTTTAGGCTTTGCAGACTCTTGTGGTATATATAGTGAGTCTTTAAAGAAATTTAATAAACATGATTAATTAATACTTGAAGTGAAAATTGTGAAAAAATGAGGCACTCACAGAGAACGCAGACAGCAAAGTAATGGCATCAGTTTTGTTGATAGACTTCACAGTTGTCAGGCAATCTGTAACCTTGAAGTAAGCAGAGATCCAATCAGCATTTTCAGTATTCATGGTCTTAAAGCTACTGCAACATTTTGGCAAATACTGTACATTCCCATGTTATCATATCTTCCATGACATTTCTATAACATCTATTTCTTTTATTAAATGGGCACAAGTAGGCGAAAAGACAAAAAAAAGCACCAAGAGCTCACATAGAAAACAGTGACTCTACACACACCTTTGACAGGTAGTCTTTTTCGACTTGCTCCTTCAGCATGTCAGCTGGCTTCTTTTCATACGACTTATACGTTTCCAGGTAGCGACCTGCCTCTTCTGGACTGGCAGTTCAAAATGAAAACGACAGAAAACAACAAAACACATTTAAAAAGACAAGAAGCGTTTGACTTTGTCTTTGAACTATAGTTTTTAGATGTTGGAGCCAGAATCACACTGATTATTTATTTTATATATGTGTCTTGTAGCAAGCTGCTTACCTCCAAGCCAAGATGAGAGTGCAGTCAGCCATGATGCACATGCGAGCCAGCTCTTTTAACGCATGATGAGGATCTTTCTGTAGTTGAACAGATGTTAGGGTTAAAACAAAATACAACAACAATTCATTCTTAAAGACTTCATGAAGTCACATTATTCCTTTAGATTTGCTACAAATTGAGATGTTGTAACATTTTTTCATTTTGACCCAAATCTGAGTCTTCTTACACAGTATCTATTATTTGGCAGCTCTGAGATCTTTATTTTCCTACGCACAGTGCCAAAAATAGTCTCCAGCTGCACCTCTTCACACTTCATTTACACCACTGTTAGCGAAACTAATTCAGCTGAGGCAAGATATACTTCACAAATGAGTAGATCTGCATTGATCACTTACATTAAGCTGCTAAAGGAGAGCTGTAATGTCCTGAAAAGATTGTTGTCTTGTTAATATATAAAACTTTTGGATGTTTACATTTTTGTCAGCAATTCATAAGGCCAGCTGACGTTACCAACCTGACAGCTGTTATCGTTAGATAATCCACAGTTTCATAGAGGTAATTTGTTTCCCCGTTTCTGTTGTTCACTTGCTTAAAAGCCTCAAATTTTGTTTCTAGTATTACCCAGATGTCCCAAAGCGGCCCTGGAGACACGAACACTTGCAGAACTATCACAAATTTACTTTTGAGTTCTGTGGCAGATGTTTACACAGTATTTAACAAAGGTGAGTATAATCCTTTGAAACAGTGTTTAAATGATAAATGATGTAAATTATATCACCTTATGGCACTTGCATTCTCCTGAGCTGACATTTAGAGTAGTGATTCTTATGAAAAGTAACACTCTTTGCTGGACTTTCTCAATTTTGGACCTGTGGGTTTTGTCTGATCTGTATGTCTGCCTCATGGTTCCACATAGAAAAGAACTGTCAGAGGAACTGAATAATCTCAACACGAAGCTCCACAAAGATGGAAAAAACATAAAGAAAGATTGATTTCCACCTAAAAATCAGTGGAAGCACAGCTGCTGCAGCAGTAATCAGGAGGTACAAAATGAGCCATATTGCCACTCATCAGAGCTGCAGTGGCTGTCCTCCTAAAATGATGCCACCAACAGTGCACTGCTTGCACAATCCAGCTCTGAGAAACAGTTGGGTAAGTGCTTAAGACTTGGCACAGGGGTTATAAATGGAAATCAGAGTTTTTGTGACAGCTGTGAAGGACAATGCATAACATTAAGCTCACTGGATGGCGTCCAAGTAAAAGAACTTGCTTGTTCTTCAGTACAAAACTGTAATATTAAACTTAGAGGAGAAAAAAAGGACATGGAAAAAAAAACCCCAAAACAAACCGATGAATATTGGGAGCACGTTCTTTGGGCAGTTGAGAACAATATAAATATGTTCAGTTCAAATGGGATCAAACATGTTTGATGAGGTGTGGATACATTGGTGCAAAAGGTGCTGGGGAGATTACCTTTATAGTTTGCACTATGAATGTACCAAAATACTGTCTGACACCATGACTCCTAATCTCCAGAAGCCGGCAGAAGAGGGATATTCCAGCATAATAATGATCCAAGGCACACTGCCCACATCACAATAGAGTTTCAAAAGTAGAGGGAAAAAACACTATGACCTGCCCTTTTCAGGTCAGACCAAGTATGCTGCCTGACTTGAATCCAACTGAACCAGTTTAAAGAGAAAGGATAGAGCAATACAAACCATCCACCTAATAAGAAAAAGAAAAAGTATACTCCATGAGGAGGAGGACTGAGTCTGTCGTGAAAAATAAAGATGGACACAAAGTATTAAAGTATAAAAAGATCTAAAATGCAGTAGCTGCACTGATTCTGCTTTTATTATAGTCGATCTAAACAGGATCTAAAATGAGTTACTTTAAGAGCAAATTCTGTTCAGCATAGATGTAATCCAGTTACAAGAAAACGACACAATTTTAAAACCAAGTGGTACTGCACAGGTGTGTACCCACGTCTGCTGTCTGTGTGCAAATCTTCTGAATGTAATACCACACAGCTGTGCAAAATGCAGTCATTATATTTCACAGATGGGTAGTGCACAACAAAAGAAAATGAAGCATGAGCGCAAATTAATTTGCATCACCACTGTTTTGATCCTGTCACAAGACGGCTTCTAGTTGCTTGGAGGAAGTGTAAAAGATTTAGATGAAAACAAAGAGAATAAGAAGATGGTATCAGTCTTGAAATCCTGTAGCAGGAAACTTTGTACAGCCTCCTCCTTTCCTGATATGTACAAACTGAAGCTATTCAGATATAGATTTCACAAGAGTAATGTTCAACAGCTTCTGAGGTACTGAATGATTAAAAAAGATGCAGGAGCTGCATTTGAAATAGAAAAAAAGTGCCTTAATGCATTATTTATGTGACTACAGTTTCAAATCACTTTGACGCATTTCTCACATCAGGAACACCATTCTCACCGCTCTTCTCAAATTAATAACACGCTTCCCCACCAACCTTAGCATTTCCCATTGCGTCTGTACAAACTGCTGTTGTTTCTGCACATACACTCCTTTACATTCCTTTTTAAGAATCTGAACACTTAACATTAGGCTCACGTTTTTGCAGTCAGTAAGGTTTTGATAAAAGTAGAACAATAAACACATTAAGACAATTGAGAAAAAACTCTAAACTGGACTGTATATTATAAGCATGTGCTATTTTTACTTTATCAGAGGAAATGACACCTTAGAATAGCTGCTGCAGCCATTCAAAGATCTTAATTTGATTAGATTTGACAATGACTGACACAGAGCATCCCCTAATGGTTTGATAAATAGTAATAATCTCCAAGTTACCACAAAGAAGTCAGGCCACTGAATGTTGAGAATACTTTAAATAATCAGTAATGCTAAAGAGCATCTTTACTTACCACGTCTACTTGAACCAGTAGCACTCGTAGTGTGAATGTGTGTCCAAGCTGTTTCAGACGGTCATGGATATAGTTTGGGTTGAGATTGTGATACCTCAGACTTTATGTCGAGTCAAAAAACAAACAAACAGAAAGAACATAAACCAACATCAAAGCAAAGCAAAATACACAATAGAAATAAAGCAAAGGAAAAAAGCATATTTTTTCAACAAATATAAGCATAGAAACCTTTTTTTTTTTTATAACAACATGATATTACAGTAACAGAAAAAAGTAAAACAAAAATGTTCCAGTGTGTGTGCAGTGACAACAACTTTTTCTTGCTCACATAAACAGAGTTTGTGAAGCACAAGAACCCACCTGAGGAAGAGAGCACAGGTTGTCTGTCCCAAGACATAATCTGGCACAACATCTCCAAACTCCCATGGGACACTCCTAACAAACTTCAGAATGGGGTTTCCTCTCTGTAGTGTTAGAAATAAGTTTTGGGGTTTTTGGGTGTCTTTTCAACATCGACTGCAATATATGCTCATAATAGATTTGACACACTCCTCATTAAAAGCATTAACCCCATGTTGTAAAGGATGAACTAAGAGAGATAGAAAGAGTTGGGTGTAGAAGGTAAATTGCTACACACTTACAGAACACAGTATCAGACAAGAAAGGTTACTTGACCTTGAGTGTATAATAACAGGGTGCTATAGCCAACAAGAAATAGAGACTTCATTGTGTCAATTAAAGCTGACTTCAACATGAAAATAAAACATCGCTGGTAACAACTGTAAGGTAGGGAGCGGTTTTCTCACAAGATCCCTGACTAGAGGTTAATGACCGTTGCCATGCGGAAGAACCCTGAGGAGAACAAATCAGGGGGCGACAAGTCTAAACCATCGCATCTTCCCATCAACAGCCAATCACAATTATTTCCTGTTTTCATGTGTCTAATATATACTTTGAATTATGAATTGTACTTCACTTCTCCGTGTGCAGACTGCTTGACACTGAGGAGTCCACAGCTGTGCAAGCCAAAATCTGGGACACTAATAGGAATGCATGAAAGGACGCTAGGGTTTTCTGTAAACCATAACCTGTTGGATCAAAGCTATATAGTTTTAATACATACCTGTCGAGGACTGACAATAATGGTGCTCCCAGATCCCACTGGTTTAGGACCGGAGCTGATGCCCGGTTCTGACCTTTGGCCGCTTCCCTCTATTTGACCCGTTGTAGCCTCTTGTGCCTCTTCACTCAGTTTGACATGGGGCCCTTTAGCCAAGTCCTGCACTGTTTTACATTTTTCTGTGCTGGAGGACACTGTAGATGGTTCACTTTGCCTCACACAGGTAACTTCAGCATTATCGCTCCTGGGCAACTTGGAGGCAGCATCTCTACGTGAAGCAGCAGCCGCATTGCTTTTACTCTGGACGATGTATTCTGCGTAGGAGACCGGCTGGGTCACTGACTGAGCAGGCTTTGTGGTAGCTGAAGCTGAAGTGCTTTGTCCAACTTTGGAAGCGAGTTGAAACTGTGGCTTTGGCTGAAACGCAATCACAATGATCAATCAACAATCACAATCAACTCTCTGAGAACCGATAATTTAACTATGAATTAAATCATATCAAACCACCATTCACGAGTCTGGAAATCCACCTGACGAAAACCCTTTATAGATACGTTTTTATAGCTCATTTTTAAACGAATCTTACGTTAAAAATTTAAATTGTATGCTTGAAGACTCGTTTGCTAGCAAGCCTGCTACGTAACCGTGAACTTATTTTTTTTTAGCAAAATACAGACCGGTGTTCTTTCTTTAGTGAAAGCAGAATCGTCCAGGTTGATGTTAAATCTCTTCTTCATGTCTGTTGACAGCTGGAGAATTCTCAAGTAAAAACATTAAGTTGAACTTGCAAGAACTCGCTTTCTGACACACAATGCAAGGTTGCAACGGCACTTCCGGGCCAATCCTTTCAGAATAAAAGCACAAACACACAGCCTTTTCAGTTCCTTCTGTCACAGGATAAAAACAAGCGTTATTACGCGATAATTATGCACTAAACTAGACTGTTGGCATGACATGCAAGTAAGTTAAAACAACTTTATCAACACGACCTTAATTTGTCTTGATATTTCCGAATAATTAGTCCACGTTCACACAGACCCGCAACTGATTTGAAGGTTTTTTAACATTCATTTTAAGGACATTTTTAATAGCGTAAGTTTATCGCTAGCTTAGCCACTGAAGCTAATTTCCGGAAGTCATACTGAAATTTTAACAGTAAATGTGACCAAACTTTTTTTTGCAGACTTTCGCTATATTCCATTCAACACTGTGCAAATGGCATGTAATCGAAATTTGAAAATAGCCACAAATCGACCCAAGACCCTCCAGGGGTTAATGCGTGTCATTCCTCATTAGTGGGATTAGGTGTCCCACTTTAGCATTCGTTCCTCATGTCAAAGCATTGCCCCTAATTCTGTTTGGCTCTGATTTTCAAAGTGAATACATGTCTCAAAGAAACGTGTCTGTGATAAACCACCTATGCATCCCTGTTGAAATCCAAAGGCGATTCAAAGCGAGAACGGTGGCTTAAATATATGTTTTAACTGTTTTTTGCCCCTAAATTGAATGGATACAAGAGTCTATGAAGACTATTTATTAAAAATCTTAAAAATAAATCTAGCTTTCTATTCATACCAAATTCTGGAAAAATTATGAAAAACACTTCAGGCCGAAAATATTTCTAAACAAATATCAGCAGAAGTGCATCAAAACCAAAATCCAAGTTTGTTGAGTAAATAGCGTTCAAGAGAGTAGCTTAAACTACATGCCTAAACTATGTGTGCAGTGGACTAAATTTCCACACCACCACTTATGTACACGATATGGCTATATAGGGTTTTTTGCATTGCAAGCTAAAGTAATTAATAAATAGGAAAACACCGAGATATAAACATGTCAAGTTTTAATGCATTTGGCTGCGCTTGGAGTTGCCTAGGAGACAGTGACGCCGCCATTCAAACCCGCGGAGCATGGCATGTTGGGATACCTTCCCCATCATGGCGGGGCATCTAGTTGGCTAACGACTACGGTTAGCATATTCAGTGACTTCTTAGCTTCGGGCAATTTGCATTCATTTGGCATCCTCTACGCGGGAAGCGCAGCCATCCAACATTAACACAGTAAGTTTGCGTCACTGAAAGGGCTGTATGATGAACGAACGAACGAACTAATCTGTTTTGTTGAAAGAAGTAGCAGCCAAGTGATTAGCAAACTAAGCTAACGAGCATGCTATGGCTAGCGGTAATGTCCTCGCTGGAGAGCAAGCGGGCAATGAGCCGACATTGAGGCCGAGGTGTGCAGGCAGTATAGTTGTCTTTTACTGCTTTCGTGTTGCCTAGCTGGTAAGCGTTTAGGTTAAAGGGAATAATAGTTTGACAAACATCGGAATTATTGTTCTTTAAAAGTAAGCTAACGTTAACTAGCAGCAACCAGCTGCAGTCATCTGTGAATGAACGTTAGCTTTAGCTGCGCAGGCCCGACAGCGGCTTATCTAACGTGTTAACGAACTGTCGCAGTTTGAAACTTTGTGTCCCTTGTTTTCGCCATTCATTTAGCTTTTGGTCTGCGAGTACAGGAGGGTTGTATTTCGCAGTTAATCAAAACTGTATTATAATATATCTGTTGCTGAAAGGCCAGCTAAACTAGCTCAAGGTAACTGAATCCAAAAATAATGTGTTCTCTGGCGTTAGCCTTAGCTTTAATAGAGAAACGTAATGTCCACTAAACGTGTTAGCTATTTAACACCGTGTGCATCTTAGCGTAGTATCGTCTTTGTTTTCGTTGAAGTAACCAGTTCTGAATTTATCCTTAAGTGAAGCCTTTACGTCCCGAAATTGGCGTTATTAATAATGTTTGTGAGCATTGGTCCTTTTCGCAGGTTATGTATCCATGCTGGCAAGGACTACTGATGGCTTTGTTAAAGCTTTAGCGTTACAAAACCACTTCGTCCGTGAGTAATGTGCAGAGTTTAATGGAAAGAAAAAACCGAATTAAAATCCTCAAATAAGCAATTGGGACCTGATTGTAAAAGATTTATAGAATCGTTTTTTAGATGTTACTTAAGATGTCCGTTGATCTTAGATTTTGGCTAACGAAGCATTATTGCTTAAAACTACGTGGCTAAGTTACACTGTTGAATACTTTTGAAATATGTTTGCCTTCACATTTCAGATTCACCTTTGTGTGGTAGACGGCAAGGGTAAACTACCTGATTCTGGTTATTATGTGCTAAATGGGTTATGATATTGGCTTATAGTAGACATATTACTGGAAGTGCTAGAAAACTACTTTCTTCAGTAGCGGAATAAAAGAGCGATGTTTTGTTCTTTGGACATGTAAATATTAAAGGATACTCATCTGCTAAATCTGTGTTATCTATGTTGATTTTTCTGGTTGATACTTCATTGTTTATTTCCAGAGTAATCTTGAAGAGTGTTAATTGATAATTTTCCAGAAATATACCAGTTTTAATATGGAAGTTGCTGCTCAAGACAAGGGACTTAAGTGTTAAACGTCAGTCTTTTTAAAAATTAGAGAAATGTAGGAAGATGGCCGTTTGATGGTCTGTTGTTGTTTCACAGTAAAACTTGTGATTAAATATAGGCCAAGCTATTCTGTTTTTCTTTCAGAATATTGTCTGATTTTGATGTACTGGTTTATATCCTTTTTCATAGATGAGCTACCTTAGTTTCCTAGTAGAAGGCTATTCTCAAATAATTCATTTGTTTTGGTAAAATCAAAATCAGTATTAATCGCACCATGGCTATATTATTTGTGAGGGAGCATTAAGTTGGCTTGCCATGGGGACTGGGTAGAGTACACTGTCTTTTTTTTTTTTTTTTTTTTGTTTTAGAAAAACAGAGCAGCTTTAATCACAGCCCTACTGATTACTTTGGGGCAGTTTTTGTACCTTTGGATAATTGCAGGGGCAAATAAAACACAAGTGTAGTAAAACAAATTTTTCTTCAGACTCATGTTAGGCATTAAGAATATTTCTCCCACGACATTTAAAACCAATTAGATCGGGCTGTTTTTTTTATTAGATACGTGAATACCACTTAAATGGTATTTAGTCATCAACAGTGGTTGACTCATAACAACCAATGATTACTGTTTTGCTCCAAATCAGTAGAAAGTTTTCATCCTTACATGTAGTTTGAGGAAATATTAGCAGTTTCAGTAGCGTTACCAAAATGTATACTAAAGTATGGTGAATCTATACTTCTGTTGGTATGGCATCCGTTTGTTGCTCAAGTTAAATTACCTTTTTCTCTCCCTAGAGTTGAGAGAGGGAACAGCACAACAGTGACATTGAAATAATCTTTTACAAGATCAGCATAACAGCATAATGGAGTGTGCAGTGGACATCCCCTCAGGTAAGCGATGCACAAGCCCCAAAGAGGTCCGAATCTGTTCAGATTTGACTCATTTTGTTTAAGTTTGTTTTTGCCCCACAGATTTCAGTGTTAAAGTGTAAGTATGTGCCTCAGTAAATTTATGTGAAATGAATAAAATATAACTTATATTTATTGTTATCTCTAATTTATGTGAGATTTAAAATAAATGTACAAAAAAATATCAAGTTGCTTTTAATTTCTGTAAAGCTCCATGCTGAACTGGTCTCACTGCATGATTGCGGATGCCTTTTAGTATTCATTTTTGGGATGGATAAACCACAGTATTTGTGCTAGTTTCTCTCCTCTGGTCTTCATTTCACCTTGTGTTTTTCTGTTTCACCATATGCTCCTCTCTTTGTGTAAAGCTCTTTACTTCCCTTTGCACATAGCAAGCCCATTGACATGAAGATAACTAAATGATTAATTAGTCTGTTTACAGTTAATTAGTTATTTTCCCAACAAATAATGATCTGTTCAGAACGAGAGTGACTCACTGGAAACACTGCTTGTTATTAGGCATGGACACAAATACGATCATTGTTGAATATTTGAATAGATAAGATAAGATAGAACTTTATTAATCCCTCGGGTGGGTTCCTCTGGGAAATTCGACTTCCAAAAAAAAGCACAGCAATGACCGAAGTTACAGTTACAATAGTGATTAAATTATTAAAATACAAAAAAAAAAGTAATGGTTTACATGACTGTTCCGTCTGAAAATATTGTTCTTTTGCAATGCTGTGTAAGATGTAATGTCCTATTAGTGCCAGGTGGTGGTAGTATTGATCAGAGCTGTTTACCTATCACTAATAAACAATAAGCAGGCATCTGATTAGTAAAAATGTGTTTACATTGTACAAACAGGAAAATGTAGAACCAAACGCCACTGCAGCTGCCAAAAAGTCGTTTTTTCATCTTGGGTAAAATAATTACCAATAATTAGATCTAGTATTCTCTCAAACAGGTAAAGCTACTATCTAGGTATGCACTGTAATTTGATAGTTGTTTGGGTGGGCTGTGATTGCCAGTGAAAACTAAATTGTGAATGAGATGTCAATCCTTGTATTCCAAGTGTATGGGAAACACAACCTTAAAGCCTGTTGGGAATGATGTAGTTGTTTGGGCACAGGTTTTGCTGCCTGCTGTTCTGTCAGTATCATTGATCAGCTGCTCATCCCATCTACTAGATGCTTGAAACTGGCTGAAGAAGGTTATCAAAACAGACTGAACATTCAGAATATCTCATGCTTCATTATGTTTGACCAGCGCTCTTGAACACCATCTGGCATTCCCCAGAACCATGTACAGAGTTGGTTACAGTTATCCCTCTCTCTAGATGGTTCTAGTTTTCTCTTGAACTGTTTTCACCCAGTGTTGGATTTGATATTGAACAGGATATTCAAGATACCAGCTCCGTGGACACAAAGTCCAGTTTGGAGCACAAAGTCTGTGTGATGTTTTGTTACAAAAGTGTTCGAATTACGCAGGTAATTGT